GCCCCTTTCTGCCAGCGAGGTCGGCCCTCTACTGCCAGTGGTATCGGATAATTAGCCCTTTCTGTCAGCAAGGTCAGTCCTCATCTGGCAGTGGTACCTAATACTTTCCCCATCTACCGGAGGCACTGGAAACTACTTGGGCAAGAAAATTTGCCTAATTTAGCTCAGAGGTCTCCCAGAGACATGACATGAGGTTCTTTTACATGCCGTAAATCTACAACACAGGACCCACAGCTTAAAGTCCCTCCCGGAGGACTTGTTTCCTGAATTTTTTCTGCCCTTAAAAATTCCATGACCTCCGCCGGGTTTGAACCCGCGTTACCCCTAGACTACGGAGACCACTATCCATATTAGTTAGTTTATTTTCGTTCCTACCTTGCACCTTTCCGTTCAGCTCATTCAAGTGTATGAAAATATCGCAAAGATATGCCAACTTACATACCTATTCATCATCTGCAAATAAATCCGCGTACTCATGCCCCTCAACAGTCAAAAATGCACGTACCTTCACATTAAGTTCAAATATTCGTGTTAACACTTTTCCTCGTGATAACCAAAATAGCGTTATAAAAGACAGGGAAACCCTTGCTAATCCCTGCAGTTTTAGGGAAAAGCACGTATACAGAACATGCAGCAAGTTTATCAAAGAAACCGCGTAGATGCAAGAAAAATAAAAATAAATCAATAATGAAAACTATGATATAACAACAACTGTGAGTAAATAATTTACGTTTAATTTCTTAGAATACAACACTACTGTACATAAAAAATCACGGCATGTAATAAAGAATAAATAAGCATATGAATCATGGTAACTGGGCTAAAATAAAACTAATTAAATTCAACAAGTTTAAGGTCTTTCATTCTGGTCCGTCACACTAACAAATTAACAATCAAATTCCTTCCGTNAGAACACTGACCTATCCAACCGGAAATCTCAGGTCTATGTTTCTGGTGTTCCTTCCTCACCTTTTGAAGTTCTCTCTGGTGTTCCCCAGGGGTCTTGGGAGCCCTTCTCTTCAATGTGTTTATTAATGACACATGTGATGCAGTTGCCCACTCTAAGTGTCTACTTTTTGCTGACAACATCAAAATTTACCAAGCTATTAGTTCTCTTCAGGACTGCTACCTACTTTAGTCTGACATTAACTTTATACAAGGTTGGCGCTTTACTAACTGTATGAAACTCGACATCAATAAAACTAAAGTTATATCCTTCCCCAGGAAAACCAACGTACTGATCTTCGATTATAAACTCTGTCAATTGTCTATAGCCTGGACAGATTCCATAAAAGACCTAGGAGTGTTTACTGATGATAAACTTTATTTCCATTACCATGTCAATTATATTTTCTCTCACTGTGTTAAACTGTTGGGTCTAGTTAGTAGCATTACTTTCAATTCCTCATCTCTAGACTGTATGCTCAGATTGTACACTGTATTAGTTAGATCTAAGCTTGAATATGCGTATGCAGTCTGGAATTCAATTACATCAACTGATGCCAACAGCTGGAACACATCCAGCAGAGGTTTGTGGCCCTCCATTTTAATCGCTTCTATCCTCAAGTCCATTATTGTTATTCTCTTGCTCTGGAGGAGTTAAAATTGCATACTTTACATATTTGGAGACATCACTTCAATGATCTCTTTCTAATGTTGTATTTTAGCGTCCTGTTGCACTGATTCTCGTCCATGATATGTATGTATTGGCACAACGCATGCAGCCAAAAAAGACACATCACAAGATACAGTATACACAAAATATAGGAAGAACGATATAATACNTTGCATGAACATAAAAATTAAACTGAATTATTATTATTATTCTCTCTCAATATCTATACTTTTCATTTCTCAACTGTCAATAGCAACTTAGATTCGTGTTGTTGTTAATACTTTATGATGTTAAAATCATTAAAAATGTCAATCTATCAATATAAATAAAAATGTGAATGTTCGTTTGTTCAAGATCTTAAATCCCTGAGAGTTCTTCACAGATTGCTTTGAAATTCTGACATAACGTTGCATTCAAATATGTGCGTGTCACACCTGTGACAGGCAAAAACATGTCACATGTTCAGAATCCAGGAGTCACTTCCAAAGTAACGTTAGAACAGACCGTTGCATAGGTTGCGACAATAACGGTGTTGTAGCCCCAACAGTTGGCCGTTGCCTAGGAAGTAACAATAGCGATACTGTAATCCCAACAGCGAGCCGTTGTGTCGAGAACATCGAATGTCCATGGTTACGACGAATACACTGAGACAATGCAATAACAATGGGTCGTTGCGTGGGAATCGCGAAATCAACAAAGCGGCGTTTCCCCGGTGATAGACAACAGAGGGCATTGTATAGCAACCGCCGAGGTATAAATAGCCCAGCTTCGACAAGGAGCAGTCAGTCTGAAATTAACCGCCGCTGATAACGAGGTGTTGATAATGACTGAAGATTTGTGCTTAGAAATCGCGAACAAACACCTCAATCAATTGGGAATGACATCACCCAATCGATCTGCTGCTGCTTCGTTCAATGTAGAATTGCGTTGTGAACAAAATTACAACACGGGTGATCTTTTGTCATATGTGCAATCAAATATTCCTAAGCTAAGGCTTGAGCAAAAAGGCATTTACGATCAAATATTGCAAACTGTCAATAACGGGGTTGCAGAAATCTTCTTCTTAGATGTGCCAGAAGGAACTGGTAAAACGTTCCTAATTAGATTGATTCTGGCAGCAATTCGATCCCAAAATGACATAGCCTTAGCTCTTGCGTCGTCCGGAGTAGCTGCGACATTGCTACCAGGTGGAAGAACTGCTCATTCTGCTTTGAAATTGCCATTGAACATGCAATTCATTGAAACTCCCACGTGCAACATTTCCAAAGCATCAGGCATGGGAAAGGTATTGCAGAAATGTAAACTTATTGTTTGGGATGATTGCACAATGGCGCACAAAAATCGCTCGAGGCTCTTCATCGATCATTGCAAGATTTGCGTGGAAACATCAGACCATTTGCGAACGCATTAATATTGCTTGCAGGGTGTTTCAGGCAAACATTACCTGTAATTCCTTGATCGACACCAGCGGACGAAAAAAAAGCTTGCCTGAAATACTCTACTTTGTGGCGACACGTAAAGACATTAAAATTAACTACAAATATGGGTGTCCAGCTGCAAAACGATCGATCAGCTGAGATATTCTCACATCAATTGCTGGAAATTGGGAACGGAAAGGTGCCGGTTGATCTGACCTCAGGACAAATTTCATTGCTTCATAACCTCTGCAATTTAGTGACGTCAAAAGAAGAATTGGTTGGAAAAGTATTTCCCAATATTCAACCCAATTATAAGAATCACGATTGGCTGAGTGAACGAGCTACTCTTGCGGCCTAGAATAAAGACGTCTACGAACTTAACAAGACTGAGCCACAGCAACGTGTGGCCGGGTACCACTAGTTAGTTAATATGAAATGATTTACAATCTTGATGATGAAACTAAACATGAAGGTAATCCATGATTCTGACTATTTAGGTTATTCGCATCTTTCACAGAGCACTGGAAGTATCACTGATATCTGAGATTACTCAGCTAAATGCAGTGCAGGCACTAAATACTTCCTCCATGCACTACAATGAGCAAAGAGAACCATTTAGTTATAAAAAAATGAAGTATGTAGTATATACCAAAAACATATATGCCCACTTGAGAGTAAAGAAGAGTAAATTTGTGAGATGTAAGGTTCCCATGGTAGTGACTATGAAATGTACTATCTTCTGGAATGTGTTAACACATAGTCTAACAGAAGTTGATTCTAAAGGGTACTGACAATAGTATATAACACTCAGAAATACCGATTTTTTTACTTTTTCCATCGTCCTATAATCTAGAGACTAGAAAACATGATATTTCAGAAACTGAATCTGTTTGTCCTCAGATGAGGAGGGAAGACACCTACTCAGTTGGGTCCCTTAGAAAGAGCTAACCTCAATCACAACCCCTTTCAGATTCACCAATGTTCCAGTCGACGAAGTCCTACAAGTCAACAGAAATAAGCTCCAATGATGACACACTGGCTGAATGGTCTGTCTTGCAGGTTGAAGTCATCATGGATATTCTGGAGTTTTGCCTGAGAACCATATTTTCAGGTGGATGACAAGTTCTTCCAACAGAAAAATGGCAAGGCTATGGGAAGCTCTCTATCACCCACTGTGAGCAACATCTTCATGGGGCATTTTGAGAAACTGACTCTGGACTTGGCACAACATAAACCATCATTATGGCTCTGGTATGTTGATGACACATTTGTGATCTGGCCTCATGGTCCAGAGTAGTTACAGGATTTCCTCAACCACCTCAATAGTTTAAGACCATCCATCCAGTTCACCATAGAAATAGTCAGTGTGACTGCCTTTCTTGATGTGCTGGTCAGGAGGGAAGAGTTGACACCAGCCACCAGTCTCTACAGGAAACCCAGCCTCACTGACCGGTATCTCAACTTCAACTCTAATCATTCGCCGCATGCGAAAAGAGATTTGATTCAGAGTCTTCACAAAAGAGCTTCCACCATATGCCAAGAATGACATACATACATTTCATTTCACAAGTCCAAAACAAATGGACATGAAGGTCATCATATCAAAACAACAAATACAAAAAATTTAAACAAACACACAGATAACAGAATAATTAAAACTAATTGTTTACGTTATGCTCCACATATTCAGAAACTGTATAAAAGGAATTATTCATAAGATATAAAGACGTGGTTAAAGAAATCAGTAGCCTCAGAAGGGATTCTTCAGGTCAATGGTTATCACAAAGGTTTCACTCACTCAGTCATTAATTCCAAGGGTAGCGGTTGTCTGAATAAAGAGCAAAAGCCTCTGGGCTCTGTGTATATCCCATATCTGAAGGGTGTTTCTGAAAAGTTCAAATGTATAGGGAATAGGTATAACATTAGGACGATCTTCAAAACTAAACACTCTCTTAGGAGTTCACTCATGAAAACCAGGCGAGAAACAGACCCACAACAGACAGCACAGTGAATCTATAGTATTCCCTGTGAATGTGGCAGAAGCTACTGAGCGGTGCTGAAGGTCAGCTGGGTCTTGTGCGTGACGTCATGGCGTCTGCCATTCCTATATTCCATCTTTACCCCCATATGTTGACTTATTATCCTTGTGATTGCCTATGTATCATGTGACCTTCCATCCCTCTTCTGATGTCGCGGAAGGAAAGAAGACCTGCTGTGCAGTCTGTGAGGCTATGTAGTTGAGAATGGACGCTTACCAGCCAGCAGGGGATCGGGGATCGCCACTGGAAATTCTATTTCGAGCTGGTACCTCTAAATTGAGTTCAGTAAATCTTCCGTGGCTGGCTGGTAAGGTAAACACTGCCCACGATCACAAGCCATTGGCTTTAGAACGGTTGCAATGCACACATTTATTTATTTTCTCTTATTATTACCATTATTATTATTTGTTTTTCAGGAGTAACCTGTTTGACGCCTAAATGAGGTTAGTGAAACAGGGGCAGGTTAGCTTATTCTCTGTCGCGACTGTTGGTGACAAGTGATTGCTGCACAATCATTGATTTGGGTTGTTGTGCCTTGATTATATATATATTTTTTTTTTGTATATTCTGTGTAAGTCTTGTTATGTTGTTCATTAAACTCTGTTGTTATCTGAAAGGCCGACGTATCACTGTAGCTTCTCCGTATTGCTTGGATACCCCACGAATATCTTGGGGAGCTCGTAAACATAGCAATAGAGCCAGTGATGATGGGCTGCTTCTCCCGACTTCACAGCTCGAATAAGTTCATTGAGAGAAGAAGGGGAAGGGGTGGTTCATAACATTGGCAAAACAGGCAGACCTCTAGCCATGTGGCTCCCTGAACACAGGGACAATCTCCACAGTGTCTTCTACAAAATTCAAAATTAGCCCAACATGCCTATGAAGAGGGCCACAGACTAAGCTGGGATGATGCTACGATTCTGAAATTGAAAGCAGCAGCAGGTATAGAAAATATACGGAATCTGCCCATGTGGCATGCTTAACCAACCTGGTTTGAACATTTCTACTATCTGGATGGCCCTCATCAGTAATAAGGTTTCAAACCTGCTGAGAAAATCCATGAAACACGGCAGATTCTTCAGGGGTTTCCATAACGTTCCATCTCGAGTGTTTAGGTTTCACTCCACAGATGGCGCTAGCAGTGGATACTATATTTCACAATTTTTTCCCCATTTCTTTCCACTGATGATCATGTAATTGGTTTTGTTGGCTAGGTTTGTAGCACAAATTTCTACCTCCTATTCTAGCCCAGTTCCACGCCTGTGCATGCTCTATCACAATCATTATTGCATATTTTCTTGTTATATCCCGCCAAATTAGTCTGTGGTCAGATGATTAAACAACTATGTGAATCTGGCAGAGTTGTCCAGTGATTGGGGTTAGGTATTTCTAAGTAACCCAACTGAGTAGGTGTCTACCCCCTCACCTGAGGATGGAAATAGATCCAGTTTCCAAAATGTAGTTTTCTGGTCTCTATACTACACGATGATGGAAAAGTACAAAAACCCAGTAATTCTGACTAATAGGAGTTCACTGACAATTCAGAGGAATGCTTTACCAGCAAGAAGGCTGACATTTATTGACTGTCGAAAGCAAACCTGCAGACTTTGTTGACACTTTTAACTTCTATTAACAATATGTCTGGGCTGTCCATACTCAGATGTGTCTTTTACTTTCTCTATTACTCAATTTACATGTCTAAACCTTATGAGATTGTCCTAACACACTTCATAAAAGCACATTTTAAGAAACAAACTATAAAATAACCTATTTTAAAACTTCAACACCATATAAAAACATTCTCATGTGAAAATTTAAAGTACATTAAATTCTGAAGTTAAACAATGCAGTAACAAACATCAATGCCGAACAAATTAAAATCACAGAAATGAATACAGAGAAGGATGTTGGACCAACATATACATGCACTTACATACGTAGAGCACTGAGAATAATGTAACGATTTGGCAGATAAAAGACTAAAAGGAACCTTTTCCCCCATCAACTGATGAGTTAGATGTATCTACACACTTAGTCATTTTACAAAATATTTCAGAATATATTGAACATTACAGCATCACTTATCTCAAATACTGTGTGGTCCTACCTTAGTCATCCACGCCTGTAATTTTTATACTGCTGCTTAATAGACTATTTGTCTTCATATCGAGTGGATGGAGAATGTGCTGTGGAGATGAATTTGTAAGTTTTCAACCTTCAGGAACTGAAAATAGAAAACAGAATTAGAAATGGGAAAAGCGTCTAAAATGAACATTACAAAAATGAAGAAAGCGCAGGTACAGTGGAACCTCAAAAACACAATTCATTCCAGGAGACGGTTCAACTTTCAAGTTAAATTTCCCCATTTGAAGTAAAGCAAATTGAATTAATTCGTTCCAGACCCCCAAATTTTACCCAGTATAAAACATTTTAAGTGCCTTAAAACAAGTATATTTAAATTCAATAACTGAATGTTTGTGTAGAACTCTTGAAATTAGAGACGACTTGTTAGTCCATAAGGTGGGTGAGGAGTGGTGCTGGGGGCAAGAATTTCACCCAGATGAAGCCATATTCAGTATTAAAATCTTGTTCCAATCCTGGAGGGTGTGCAGGTGCATTGTGCAACACCAGAAGGGCCCTGAAAGATAAATTTTTCTCATCCAGATATTTCTTCACACCAGGGTTAAAAACTTCATCAAACCACTCAGTGAAGAACTGCCAAGTTACCCAGGATTTAGGATTTGACCTCCACATTACACTAAGCCTGTTTTTGTGCACAGTGCTTTCCTTAATAGCCCTGGAGTCTTCTTTCTTTCGTCAATGTAACGCATGCATTGAAAATGCAGGGCGCCAATTCCAACTTCTACTCCAGCAGGTGAGTCTTAAAGAGTTTGGAGGGGGCATTATGCCTGTGCATGCTCTTCAACACTGAGGTGCCAAGTTTAAACAAAATTATATTATTAAATGCCGCCCTAGTGCTGCTATTTTACGTTTGCGGACATGGGTTCTTATTTGAAAGCTGTTCTATAGGGAACACTCAGTACACTCCTGAAGTATGGCATCAAACTCGTGGGACATTCTGTATAGTGTCACACATGTCTAATTAAGCAAATATTGCATTTCATTTGAAGCATGGGATTGCCAGAAGGCTAAAGCTAGAAATGGGGTGCACAATATATCATAAACAGTTGGGATGCAAGGGTCATGTAACATCCACCCTTTAATATCAATATAGTGTGCTGTACTGTGAACTGCAGAAAAAAATGTTAATTACTATGGATATCTTCAGTGCATACAACTCACCTTATTAATGGTGTGGTATGAAAAGGGTTTGGAAGCATGATTAACAAACACAGATTTCACTGGCTTCTGTACTCCAAGAATGGTGACCTTGTCTAAAGCTGGCATATCATTATATCCCCACCAAACAGCAGATCCTGTGAGCTGCAACTCAGCCAAGGTGAAGTTCAGCAAGTTGTACCGTCAATCTGCATACGTATCTGTAACAGTAAAATTATTAACAGTGGAACATATATGTAACTAAGGGCATATGAGGAAAGCCACACAAAATTTCATCATCATGGCCTATGACCTACTTTCCATGACAACAAAGTCATTACTAGAAAATGAATACATGTGTTCTCAAACAGTTAAATAGTTTTGTGTGGTTTCACAAGCTACTGAAGACATAATGGGAGAATCTTCAAATAACAGGACCTTAAACAGGACCTATCTTAGTACTCCTCAAACCTTGTATTGGCCTCTTCACAGTCGCCTCTCTATCCTACTGTTAATCAGTGTCCTCAGCTCAGCTTTCAGTGGCATGATCAGCACATCATACAATACTGCCTCAGGGGTTTATGTATTTCCAATCCTAAATTTCCAGCAACATCACAAATCATAAATGCACACAGTGCCTAACTGATAAACATTTGCAAGGCTTCAATTGCTGAATTTTTGACAGAGAGCAGTTGTAGTAAACTGGAACTCAAAATGATGTTCATCTATAAAAAATAATTCCCCCACATCTGTTTCAGGATGATATAAGTGTCTGTCACAGTAAAAAGAGGTCCAAAATATTGTGACATGATGGCTGAAAGCAGGAATACTGGAAAAGGCGTCCTAAGCTAAGTAATGGTGCTGTAAACATGTTACAGCAGATAGTAGAAACAGAAAAGATGGCTGTTGCTATGCAATGGCTTGGTAAACACGTTTCCTTGGAAACTGATGTGAACGTGCAACACTAGAAAAGCTGTTGGAAGAGAAGTTCTCTGTGCAGTCTGCACTGAGACTGTACAAGATGTAATTCAAGCTTTCAAGCAGTTGAGATGGTGAGTGGGTCTGCAGGCATTCAGTACTAGCCAGTGGTGAACACACAACAGCCAGGGACTGTGGCCATGAAGTTGCATTGTGAAAAAGCTGCCAGCCAGAAAGGACAGGAACTTCTGAACATGGAAGCAGAGGAATCCACAGTGTCAGGAGCTGCCACCAAGCGATGCCTAGTTAAGACATGGTAGACTGAGAAGACTTAGTGCATGCTGTAGTTTTTTGTTAAGTGTACAGATCTGTAAAACTGTTATTGTTACTTGTAGTTATGATCTGTAAGTGTTCAATAAACCCAATTACCAATCCAAACCCAGTGTCTAGTCACTAAATACATGACAATATTAACTTCTAAAACAGCAAACACAGTTTAAAAAAGTTAAAGCAAGAAACAGGCAGGCTACAGTTCATCACTCAACTTCATATTTATTTAGAAAAGTAAGAAAATTGTGAACTATATGAAAATTCTGGATTTACAATAAATGTTGTATCCCAAGGGAGCAGCCAGTCCCACTGGAAGACAGATTTCCCAAGTGGCCAGGAAATAATGGTGGCAGGTATGCAGACATAGAACTTACAGGTTCATACCTAATCAAGCTGAAAAGATACATGGAGTTGAAGTTTACTAATGATGAATTTAATTACAGAATGTGAAGATTATAAAGTATCCCTGCGCACAGCAGTGGTGGTGTCAAACTCACCCCAGTTCCCCCCCTACATGATGAAATTACTAAGATGTCTGATGAAACCCCAAGAACACGTTCTAGAACTTCCTGAACACAACAGAAGATTCCATGACTTGTGCCTGCTGTCCTGCTGAAGGTGAAGGTCTAAACAACAGTCAGTCCCAACTATACCACCTCTGCTTGTTTGCACGAAAAACCAATAAAATTCCATAAGTAAACTCGATGAAGATATACTGACTGTGCTACCTCAGCAATAGTGAGATAACGCCTGTCAGCTATACTGTCAATCATGCATAGCTGTGTAACTCTGCATAGTCATTAATTACTATTATTAACATTGCCAGTTACAAAGTTATACCTCATAATGCAGTTAATAAGACCCCAAAGTTGGGCATATACTGTATGGATATGCAAAACACGCAATATATTCAATTTCATAATTAAATACTACAAAATTCAGAGCCTATCTACACGCATGCACATTGTAATTAAACTATTTCTAAGCACTCTAATATGCTTGAACATGACATTTCTCAAGTGGTGAGGCACTACCTTCTCACTGCAGAACCTCAGGTTTGATTCTGAGTGCCTTCATGCAATATTTACCATGAGTGACCTGGTACCAGAGCAGGTTTTCTCCAAGTATATTTGGTTTTCCCCTGCTAATCCTCACTCCACTATTGCTCCGCACTCATCTAACACTACCCTTGAGAGACATGACAGCCCCCACCAGACACTAAATTATCACATTCTTAGTCTTTAAGTTACAGAAGTTCAGTTTCAATCTAAATGCAATAATTAACCACACTAACAACATATTTTTATAATAAAGTTAATCATGCTCATAATGAAACTTTATAAAGGTTTATTACACTAAGAAGTTCTGTTCTGTACTAACTGAGTGAATCACCATCATCCCAGTACAAAGAACCTGTGGCATGACAATCCTCAGCCGGGGTTACCAGGAGCCCAAAGTCATTCTTTTGAAAGAGTTTACATGCTACTACAATTGTAAATATGTGGTGCAGTTCAATTATTTGGGAACAACAGTGACAAATCAAAATTTGGTTCATGAGGAAATCAAGAGGAGAATGAATTCAGGTGATGCTTGCTACCATTCAGTCCAGAACCTTTTGTCTTCTCATCTGCTGTCCAAAAACATAATAATTAGAATATACATAAAACTATAATTTTCCCTGTGGTTCTGTATGGGTGTGAAACTTAGTCTCTGACATTAAGGGAGGAACAGAGACTGAGGATGTTTGAGAATAGGGCGCTGTGGAGAATATTTGGACTGAAAAGAGATTAAGTGATGGGAGGTTTGAGAAAACGGCAGAATGAGGAGCTTCATTACTTGTACTCTTTGCCACGTATAATTAGAATGATCAGGTAAAGGAGGATGAGATGGGCAGGACATGTAGCATAATGGGAGAGGAGGAATGCATATAGGATTTTGGCAAGAAAGTTAGAAGGAGGAAAGAGACCACTAGGAAGACCTAGACATAGGTGGGAGAATAATATTAAAATGGATTTTAGAGAGACAGGATGGGGTGGTACAGACTGGATTGATCTGGCTTAGGATAGGGAGCAGTGGAGGGCTACTGTGAATATGGTAATGAACCTTTTGGTTCCATAAAATGTTGGGAAATTCTTGAATAGTTGAGTGACTGGAAGCTTCACCAGAAGGATTTCGCTCCATGAGTTAGTTACAATTGTAAAAGCATTAGTAACATATTTAATCCAATACAGATGCTTTGATGTATCTAAATAAACATTAAAACATTCTGAGAATCATTAAAATAACTATCTGTATAAACAAAAAAATGTTGAAGTTTTTGTACAAATCGCTCTCTTGCAATGGGCTACAATGGGGTACAAGGGTGACTTAAATTTGAGAACTTTGATCTCGAGTGAGAGGAAC